CTACAATCTCATGAACACATGTCACATGAATCTTGAGAATTCACAGCAAGGGTTAAAAGTCTCTGTCATCATTAGTCTTCATTAACATTTTCTAGATACAGACAAGAAAAGGCAAGAAGGTGAGGTCTCCACCTGGCAACCAAAAGAAAGGAGAAACCTCATAACAATCAGAACAACAAAGATTCTAAGGGCATTTAGGGATTGTCATCTGTTCTGCCACTTTCTACACCTCCTCCTGCTGATGTTCATTTAAACACTAATCTTTTAACTCAGCAGAGGAAGAGCTACACTATGCACCAATTACAGCAGACTAAAATTGCATTTAAATTACAGGTTCACTCTTGAGTCAAGTCTCAGGCTGGCTGAACTGAGAGAACAGGCCATGCAAAGTACCATTCCCCAAGCCAATGTTACAGGACCTGGAAACCCACTCTGGTACTGCATTAGGCACTTCGCAATTTATGAATTCTGCAAGAGAAATCTAACTTGCAAAGTTAGATTTATTAGGATTGGGGTTTCTGTTTTGGAACAAATAAATTCAGCAGATGCCAAATGGGATTTAACATTAGCATTTATCAGACAGATAAAGAAAGGGAAATTTAAAAAGACATTCAGAAGCAAATTACAAGATTTTGACGTGGTCCTCCTGTGAGATTTAAGCCTTTAATTCTTTCCAGGGTCCAACAATGTTAACAGCTAAATGAATGTGGGCTTCCCAATAACTGCTGAAAAAATAATGCTTTTTACGAAGTTGGGTGCTGAGCTGAAATTGCAAGTGAGTTGAATCTCAGGCCTGCCTTGTATTGGCACTATTTAATAAAAGTTGAGTCAACTGATGGGATATTTGGAGTGGAACAGAGCAGAACTAAGACATATGCAAGAACTATAAGGAAGGCATCCATGTGGTGTCAAGCATACTGTGCACTGCTCCAGTCAGCAAAATGCATATTACTCCAAGAACAAACAATCCAGCAAATTCTATTCACCACTGCCTTTTTTTTTTTAGAAGAAGGCTGGAGAAAGAAAAACTCCATAGTCAGTGTAACAACAGTGCCAAGCAGATTTCTGCACCCTGCCAAGAAGGTATAAATTCCTTGAGAACATGAGAAAACAAACTGACCCTGCAATTTAATTAGGGCAGCCAACCATTTCTCTTTTATGTCTTGACAGTGGAGTATGCCCCAGCAACGTAAAACAGCCCACCATAATGGACAAGCAACTATTTAGCCAAATCACACTGTAGAGTTTATGAACCATGATTCCTTTATCCAAATTTAGAAAGTTGATTTATGTATTTGTTAGACTTCTGCTTCCTTATATATTTGCACTTTGGCATTACCAGTTAGGCAGACTTTAATATTATTCTAATGGGAGATTTTGAAGAAACTAGTTTTGTTTTTGATAATTACTACAATCTGCAAGACTCTTCTGAAAAGTTCAGATAAATTTCCTTTTTCTCAGCTCCCTATATTTTTCTGAAAATGCTAAAGACGCCTGAAGATTCCTGCAGTTTCTCAGGCTTTATTAAAATATCCTTAGCTTGACACGGTACATTGGATAACAACTTCCCAAACATTTCCTTATCAAGTGGAAATAGAAATGATTTCTGGTTTTAGAGGCTGTGAGCATGACGAACAGGTTCATTTGGCAGGAAAAAATAAAAACACCATTATTGCTTTCAAGCTGCAATCCTGAGGTCTAATCATCCAAAGCTCTGGGTGTGGCTCTCAGAACCCCTCCAAAAGTTGCTACTGATTTAAAATTTTCATTTGCTCAAAGTGGAGGCTTATTAAATACATGGGAGTAATCCTATTAACTGGATTCTGTCCCTCCCAGTTAAAGTCAATTAATTTTAAATTTTCTCTTGTTCCCACGCCTGGGATACCTACCAAAGATTTGTAGTCCTTTGAATCCACATTCTGATTCCATTGTTCTCCCACAGCTTACAATAATAACTGAGTGCACTGCCCACTAAATGCATGGTTCTACATTTTCACTGATTTTCATTGACATTCTTTTAAAATCCATTCTGAGCTCTGCTATTGTGCTATTAAGTATGCACAATCATAGTGGCAATTCTTTTAACAGAGAATGAAACATACAGTTCTAAAACCAGCACACATGCAGACAAAAACAGCCTTCCTGGCCTTAAGACATGGTTGCTGAGGCATTGTAGCATTTTATGGGACAAACAGCAAAGAGCACCGGGTGGCTACCTATAGAACACAGAGAATGTAGCATGACAGCTGTATAAAGCCATCATTCTGCAGCAAAACTAAGATGCTGTAAGCCACCCAGAATCACCTTGTGGTGAGATGGGTGGTAAACAAGTTTAATAGATAAAAATCCAACCTTATGACCACACAAAAATCAACCACAAGGGACATTAAGCATCTCTTCAAAGCAACACTTAGTTTCTTAACATCTTATGTCTGGAAGGGTCCAGTTCTGGAAACAGACTCCACAAGAAGACTGAGATAGGTTGTATTAACAGAATACTGCAGGTTTTCTGATATTTACTTTCCCCTCCCTCTTATACTCACTAAGGCAAGGAGGAACCACCCTGAGTCTCTTCCCAATACAGTCTTCTTTCCAGGGCTCAAGGAATGCTTCTGCTCCTTTTATTGTCTGAATATTTCCCTCAAGATCATCTCCATGGCTCTTTTTGGGAGGTAGCAGGGAGGGAGGGAAAGAGGTGACTCCAGCAGGCAACTTCTGTGATTTTTGTCTTGTCACCTAGCCCCTCCTTTGATTTAATTTTGCTGCAGCATTCTGGCTCATTTGCCTAGCAAATACCCATCAGTACCTTGCTAAGTATTTTCATTTTTTACCAGCCAAGAAGTCTAAATATTTAGCCTTGCCTCCAAATCCCAAAATTCAGGACTTATATACTAGCTCAAATTTTGATGAGGCACACCAGACTTTAAGAGGTGACAGAATAACACAGCAGGTAAAATATCATCTTCAACCCACAGTAATCTGGGATGAACAGCCTTCCCCAATCCAATGCCTTCCAGGTAGGCTGGGCTAATACAGCTTTCATCATCCCCAACTACATGGCTATACTTGAGAAGTACATCCAGATTTCACCATACAGGCCTCCCATCTTAGTGTCACCGCCTTTCTTATATCTATCCTACAGATTTTACAGCCTCTTTTCTGAAGGAAAACATCTCTTCTAGTTTATCAGAGTCTGAGCATACTGTAGAGTAAGCTCAGTGACAAAAGCTGCTTTCAAGGATAGCATAACCAAGCTATGAGAAAAAATGATTGCTGTTCTTCTCTCCTCTATAGATTCACTATGGCCAAACCAACAGCCTTCTAAGACTGGCTTCAATTTCTTTTCTTCTTGTTTGAAATTCTTTGAACCACCCACTGACATTAGCAAAATGAAATTATCAAAACAATCTAAATATTCACTGCACTCCTGAATCACTGCAGTTTCAAACTGCAGGACTGCCTGACCCATGTCAGCTTTTCAAAATGCTTACTTACAGTTCCTAATTTGGATCTCTGCCCTTCCTAACCATTTTGCTCTGTTTCCACAGAAAGACAGAGTACACTAGGCCCATGCAAAGAAGAGAAATTGGCTCCAAGAAAAGACTACCAGCCCTTTCTCTAAGCCTGTCTTTCCAAAATAGCATTCAGCTATCCTTTGCTGAGGCGGGGAGTGGAAATTATTATTTATTTATTTCGCAGTGGGACTACACTACTCGTAGTATTAGTAAAATCAGAGCAATAGCTACAGTACTAAGATTGGGCTAGAAGGCAGTTGGGAACACAGCAGTAACATCACCAAAGACCCTGATACCAAAATACGAGATTCTTTTCTAAGGTTTCTTTTTCAAAGAAAAAGAGATATATTGAACTTGCTCTGATTTTTTTTTTCTTTGGGGAAAAAATAGATTAGATTAAAAATTGTGCTGCAGAATTTCCACTTTCAGGATTGGAGGAATCTTCCGGGACCACAAAAAGAGAATGAGGCTGTGGACAAGGACGATGTGGTCAGAGAACATTGGAGCTAATAATCTGAATCCATTGTTTCAAACTATTGTTTTGATCTCTGTGAATACATGTAAAGCCTATCTAAAAATTATGTCAAATCAAGTAGTGATTAGTCACCATTTCAAGCATCTTCATTGGCTTCCAGGAAAACCCGAAGTACATTGCCTTTTAATACTTGCTTCCATTAATACGATGGGAGGGTTCCACTCACTGAATTTATCCACCAATTAGGTAATTATTTTGGCCCATTTAAGAAATACTGGGAAGAACAATCTAATCCCAGGACCAATATTACAACACAGAACAACTATTCATGCAAGAGGAACTTTGGCTCATAAATCTTCATATCATACAGCTATTTCCCATTCTAAAAGGGCAACTCCAGCTTTATGAAGAATTCAGATTCACATTTTTCTGACTTTCGTTTAACCTTCTAGTTAAAAAAAAAAAAACCTTAGCAGAAAACAAGAAGAGGAACCTCAAAAATAGCAATACAATAGGAATAGCACTTAGACTTACATTTGGCCCCATAGTTCTTTAAGAGTGGTTTACAGAGTCAGCATATTGCTCCCAACAATCTGGGTTCTCATTTTACTGACCTCAGAAGGATGGAAGACTGAATCAACCTTGAGCTCTGTCCAGATAGAACTGCAGGCTGTGGGCAAAGTTTGCCAACAATATTGCATTCTAACCACTGTGCCACCAAAGAAAGATAATCAGTGCAGTAAACCTTACCAGGTTTAATATACCTCTTTTCCTTTAAAAAAAGAAATCTCAGAAACATGACAAAAAAGATTTCATTAGTGATGACAGATGAAGAATACAAGAGTTTTATTCCTTCTAGCAACAATTTAAATTAACATTGCTTATACATCATAATTGGAATGAATTTAGGAGAACATTTCCAAAAGTCTCACTCTACTACATGACATGTTTGGCAGACTTTATCCTTAAGCAGCCTTGCAGTCATTTAAAGAGTGCCTTTAACAACTTACCCAGCTGGATAAGCAATGAGACCATTCTTAGGATCACAGGCCAATCCTCTGCCACCAGACACAGTGATTCCCAGCACTTTTTCTAAAGTCACCTAGTTTAAAAACAACAACAACACAAAGATGATGAATATATAGCTCTGACATACTGTACAACTACATATTGTGCATGTGCTATAGTCTCCTCATTTTATGCATCAGTTTACTCAGTGTATTATTTATCTCAGGGAGATCAGATGACATTAAAAAATCTGTTTTAAAAAAAACTATCCAATATTGAACGTTCTTAACTTGATGAGGACAGCAATGATGTTCTTTTTTAAAAAAAAACGAAACTTCTCCATAGCAACCGAAAAGAAGCTATTTTGAAAATCACTTCCAAAAGTGAAACCAAAACAGAGACGATCAGAAAATAGCTCAGGAATTCTGGGAGTTGAAGTCCACGAGTCATAAAAGAGCCAAGGTTGCCTATCCCTGGTCTGGGACAATATTCCACAGATATTGTAAAACTCTTTCAGCAACACTTGGAGGAAATGCCTTTCCAAAGTTTTCTAGAAGACATGGACAGATTTCAAATCTTTTTAAAAAGGCAAATGTACTCTCATCTTTTAAGGCATTAGAGAGGTTGGACCGTCCTTCAGTTTATTTCATTTAACCTGAAACTAAGTAAGATTTGCCTTTGTAAATATATTATGAACATAGTACCAATTTAAGTGTTGTTTTTTTTGTAGCAATTTCACAATGGTTAAGCCTATTAACAACCCAGATATTTGAACTTAATAGAATAACAGAGTTGGCAGGGACCTTGCTCAAGCAGGAAATCCTACCTACACCATTTCAGACAAATGGTTGTCCAATCTCTTGTTAAAAACCTCCAGTGTTAAAGCGCCCACAGCTTCTGGAAGCAAGTCGTTCCACTGATTAATTGTTCTTCAATGGGTGAACCAATCTGCTTTTTGTTCCTTGCAGTCCTAACAAGCTATTCTGACTTCTACCTGTTAAAAAGTAGCAATGTAGCTGAAGAATAGGTACTATTTCATAGAAACCACCCCCCAAACCCACACCAAAAGAAACATACTGGTGATGACACTTGAAGGAGTTATTTACAAAGTGTTTTGGGGTGACTGAAGCACATTCCTCAAAGGATTAAAGCAGCCACATCTTCATTCAATGTTTCTAAGAGCCATCTTTATTGGTATGGAAATACTTTACTATAATTGGTGGTCTCAGCTAAAATGCTATCTGGGTTTACACACATATGGTAAACAACCAGAGGAGGGAGGAAAAGCAATCATGTAACTATCACAAAAGGTGCAACTACTTTAAATCTTTGACTAATGCTTTCTTCATCCATCACACAGCTTCTTTCAAATGCTTTGCGAGCCCTCTTACTGGCATTCTCTCATGTGGATCTGCAAGTGGAAGTCTTCCCCCAGAGTAGCACCACAACATCAGTGCCAATGTTCCACCTGCCCTTTCTACAAATCAACTGCAGTTTTTTTTTAATTTATTAAAATATACTGTTTGTGTAAGATCATTAACTTCGCCAATTCATCACTTTACTGGGCTGAATGTCAACTCTTCTGTTTAAGAATTAGAATCACTGATGGTATCTTCCGTCCCAGGTCCAAACAGCCTGCAGTGATCTCTCCTAGCCATCCTCCAAAGACTCTAGACTTCTCAAAAAGCTCCCACAAGAACTCTGGTAAAAAGCTTCAGGGCACACCTAAAAAAATCATGTGGGAGCAGATCACCCATATTTAGTCACAAAGATGATTTGTTAAAACAGGCTTTCTCATTTGTAGATAATTGTTGCTCCCAGGGGTATTTCCTCAGTGCTTCTTTTATTAATAGTTCAGCTAGAACCAAACTAGAAGTCTGAAGGTACAAAAAATTCATAACTACCACCAACCTTCCCACCCTACTCCCTTTATGGCATTTAGCTCAAATTTTTATGTACCAGATGCCTTAAAAAGAGAACGAAGAAACCATGGAACAAAAAATAAAAAAAAAACCCTGCCTTTTCAGAAACAAGAACACTGCCTTTTTGCTTACTGTTTACCTCACATTATCTTTCTGGTGAATATTTTAATATCTGTTAGGTAACTGAACACAGGAGAATTTAACTGGACATTGCTGTTTAAAAACATTCCCTTTGTTTTTTTCAAAAAAAGTACTACATCATCCACTCCTTTTAGCCAAGAAAATATTATGGGCGGGAACTCACTTTTGCACAGCGTTTTATTTGACTCAACTGAAATTGTTACTAAGATTGCATAAGGTGGGTTGCTGTAAATCAACTTTTCTCAACAGGGGTTCTTCAAGCGATTGGAATTGGGGGGAAAAAATAAACATCATTTTTGGAACCGAGAGCATTGGTATCCTTTGTGGGGGAAGGGATACCAAACAAAAACAGCAGGCTAGTAAGTTGGCCAAAATAAAAGATCCACACAAAAAAAGATATTCTCTACTCAAAAGAGCACTGACAATTATTATTGGATAATCTACAACTTACTGACTATAATAATATACAGTGACCTGTAGATTTAATAATTTTATGCATTGATTTCATTGCTTCCTCCAGGGTAAAAAGATTGAAAAAGGCTGCTGTAATTGATGTGCTGGGACTCACAGCCAGTAGCTGCCCAGCCCTACTCAGGAATTTTAAAAATGAATGTGTTGCAAATATTTCAGAGATTTCCCCAAGGTGTAGAATAGATCAGGAGATGATGCTGACACTGATTGTCAATAACTTGAAAACTGAGTTTCTAAATCTATTCTGTTTTGTTCTTATCCATGCCTTCCATGGACTTGCTGCTGAATGAAAAAATAGATAGATACAAACTCTAAAAGACAAACGAAATAGAACAGGATCCGATTGACTGCTGCAGAAACTATATCCAGTAAAACAAGAAAACATTGAGTTTTCTTCTCAAATAGGTTCTCTACTACACAAGGTAAAAGTAATTGCTACATATTTAAAGATATACTCAATGGGAGTATTCTATGGGAAACAAACAGTTCACTACGTCCAATAACTACTCACAGCAGTGTTTAGGCCCTTATAATACAGCCATACCATAACCCAGAAGCTGCTGGGCGTTTTCAAAATATCACCAGCTTTTATAGATAGGCATCATTTACTAGGTTCATCAATAAATAGTTAGGATTTATCATGTATGTTCCCTAACTGTGCAACAAGAACAATAACTGTGAATAAGACATACAATACAGGGCAATTAATAATCTAACTCCTTGATTCCAAAGTAAGAATACTGTGTCCTTTATATTTGACAAATCATTTGGTTGTCCTTCTCCATGTTAATATGTAGAAAAAATAGAACGCTTAGTCCAGGGGTGTCAAACTGCCGGCCCACAGGCCCGTTTCATCATACCGAAGCCGTGCCCACCCCATTGCCAGCAATGCAAAAGGAGTTGCGATACATCACGACATGTCACGTGACGTGTCAAGTTTGACACCTGTGGCTTAATCATTCTTGACAGCGCAAAAAGACAGAAGTGCTTTTCATTGACAAGGATTAATGTCATGCTAGTTATGGTCTAGTGATGAGGATAACCCAGCAGTTCAAAGATTCTGTCCACATCAATCCCTTGAATTTATGAAACATAATTGTTGTATTGCAACTTCTATAAAGTAGCCAGAGAAAGTTTCCCACAATGGAAGAATGGCTGGAAAAATGAGAGGACTAGCAAAGATGGCTATCTTAAGTATACGTAAGTAAAAAGACTAATATTATTATTTTATTCTACTGCGCTGAAAAGAATTGGAAGTTAATGCTTTTCTTTCTTTCTTCTCCTTTATTCTACACTTCTCTCTCCCCCCTCTTTCTTCCTTCCCCATTTTCTCACTTCTTTTTTTGGTAAGTTTAATAAAAATTATATTTAAAAAAAAGTAGCCAGAGAAAGTTTTTTAAAATTATATTTTTTAAAAAGTAGCCAGAGAAAGTAGCCAGCAACATTTGCTGAAATCCCATATATTATTTTGATGGCTGGCTATTAGTTTATGGCCTAGCAGACTTAATGTGAACAATCCCAAGCTTTTAAACACTTTCATTAACACAAGACTATCAATGGCAACTCTGAATTGATTACCTATAACTGAATTTCCATATATTCTATACTCAGTTGATCAATGAATATTGCTGAGTTCTTGAAAATGCTCAATCATTCCAAGAAGGAATTTGATTCTTCCATTTCAAGGCTTCATTTTCAAAACAAGGAAGAGATTTCAGGATTGTAACAAAAGGGTTTTCAAGCATTTATATTCATTTGTATTCACTCAATGCTAACTCTCAGCTATATTCAGCAACCTTCTCTTTGTCTTTTACACTATGTGTGAAGACAAAAGTTCAGAACAACAGTAGGAGCTGGAATAAGTCAATCTGCATCCTGTGGCTACAATAACCATTTTACTTGCTCTTTCCATATTGTCTGACAATTGCAGCAATGAGACAAAACTGGAGCCTTTTTTATTTTATCTGTAAAAGAAAGTCGTAATTTTTTAATCTGAAAAACTACTAAATGAAAAGTCTGGGATTTGGGATTTGGAAGGTTTCAAATAGGGGATGTGGAAGATGATGGTGAATGCTTCTTTGAAGTACAGTGTGGTTCTCCCAGTTCTCTCTTCACTTCTCTTTAACCTTTACATGAAGCTAGTGCGTGAGATCATCTACCAGCATGAGTTGAAATATTATCAGTATGTTGTATATTCTCTGCTCCTGACTGACCAAGTGATGCCATCAATGTTTTTTCTCAACGTTTTTTCTCTAAAGGTTTTGAGGGTATGGATGGGAATGAACAGGAACAGAATATCAACCCTAGCATGACCAAGTGACTATTGGGAGCTTCTGTATCTGAAGATTTTTCATCTTTGTCTCTGAATGGGGCAACTCTCTCAAGAAATGACACACAATTGGATGTCACCTTGGGCTCTCAGGTTCAGTCCACATTAGGTGAGCCTCACTACATGGTTGGATGATATATGTTTTCTGATTATTACAGCTGCATGGTGATGGTTGGTCACACAGTCAGCAGATATTTAGACTGGATTTGGCATTTTTGTCCACCTGTCAAGTCCTTCCCAAGGTTCTGGGATAAACAAATGTTATTTATATTGTTAGATGTATCATCGCAGATTTATTATTCTTATTTTTATGGGAGGAAGTGTTGTTACCTACCCAGAGTGGCAGATGTGTAATGGGCAGCTGTAAAAAATGCTTATATAAATAAAAACATGTAGTTAGTAGGGATCTGATGTGATGAAGCTTCAAAATATACCTCATATGCTTGCAATGTCAACATTGGATTGACTTGCAATTTCAACCACAACCTGCTAAAAAAAATTATTAAAATTTATACCTCTAATCACCCCAGTACGATAACTCTGGGCCTTGAGTGGGAAGGAAAAAAGAACATCCTTGTTTAGGCTTTCTGCATAGCAACTGAAAATCATAAAATTTGTGGATCAAGTCATAATACAAAAAAACAGTACAGAAAGAAATTCATTATCAGAATACCTACCTTGAGTTTGCTTTACAACAATAAAAAAGCTCAACCTATCACACCTAGCATTGTTAGACTTCATTTGACACGTTCAGTACAGAGTAATAACAGTATGCTGGTGTACTTAGAAAGCCTTTGAACATTTCCACTGCAAAAGTTTGATTTTAAGATTTTATAATGCACTTCAGATATACCTCATTTGAGCTAAATCTAGATGCTGAAAGAGCTGATTTTTCATCTCTATTATATTTTTAAGCGATATGAAAACTAAAATCTGAAAAGGAAGTTAAAAGCTAAGAATGTTATGACTTTATTGAATAAACAATACAGTTTCTCCTTATGCTGATCTTCCAGATGTTTTCAAATTTAACTCCCATTAGCATCAACTAGCATGACGGAAGAAAGGAGTTACAAGCTATAGGTAAAAATACATCCTTTCCACTTTTCATTCTCTCCCTCCCTCTCTCCCTCCCTCCCTCTCTCTCTCTATCTCTCTCTCCCTCCTCCTCTCCATTCTTCCTTTGCTTTGGTATTCAACTTAGAACAGTTCATTTTGCAACATCTTAAATACATTTGTTACTCCAAAATGGATTGCTGTATTTTTTTATTTTTATTTTTTACTTCATCTAAAGCCTTCAAGGTAGTTAGTTTTATGACAGCAGTTTTAAAACTAGAACACACTATAATTTAAGCAGGAACAAAATAGGCATACCAGGATTGGAGACAGGCAATTGTTTAAGTGATCTAAAAATAGTATCCGAAGTACATTAACAACATAAAAAAGATGTGTCTACCTTAGGTTATCATCTCTGATCAAATAATTTCGACACAAGTACATTATACAATAAATATGTGAAGATGGTATCAATTAATCGCTTGGGAAATTGTTGTAATTCAGATTACGGTATTTATTTATCTAACCCAAATATTTTGGAGGTCAGCCTGTTCTCTAGATCGCAAGAGGAGAAGAGTGTGTTGTTTCATTTGTTCCCAAAAATCTTTAGACAGCAGATCCTAGAAGATGGATTAAACAACTCTCTTCTCCAAATGAAAATAGCACACTTCCATCCTAAACTCGGTAACTGCTTTTAAATCAAAGCGGACTGAGTCAAAACTGTTGTATCTTTGTGGTTATGACTGGCAAACAAAGAGGTCAGGGCTTCTCATAGACAATGTATTTTGGAGCCATAGAAAAAATCAGGGGTAAGCTAGCTTCTTAAGAATAAAATTAATGAAATATTAATCTTTCTCATTTCTTAAGTGGTCAAAATGTTAATAGCTAGGCTGCTTATAAATATTTCTTAATTTTGTGGTTTATTTGGCCAAATGACTAAAAATCATCAGGCTGAATGAATAACCAATCCCCTCAGTATGAAACATTTACAATGCTAATCATTAATTAAATTAAATATTAGCACTCTGACTGCTTTGAATTTAAGGAACTGGTTGTACCAAAACCTGGCTGTGGTAATGTGTAGCAGCAATATGAGTTATGTTCCTTGCTTTGTTTGTGACAGACACATAAGCACTCCTAAAATTATTTTCATCTGCAGGTATGATTCAGTCTATAACTCTGTGATCACCTAACCAACACAGTACATATGTTGACCTGAAGAGATCAAGGCAATGACCAAAATGATTAATGAAAAGACTATTTCCAGTTAAGAAATCAGAAACCAAACTTTGGATTCAATTCAAGGAGTAGAAAAAAGGAAGCATCTGGAGGAGTTAAAAGAAAGCTTAAAGCAATATTCGTCTGAGTAACGTAAACTCGTTTTAAAAATTAGAGTCTTTTTTTTTTCAAGGTTAATAAAGAAATTGGGATTTATTACTGTTAGTCATTCTTTAATTACGAAAGCATCTTTTACCTCTCCTGATATGTCTCCAGAATAGTAGTGTTTATAAACTGCACAATTAAATTTTACACATTAAAATAATACTTGCCTTCTATTGAAAAGTTTAGAAATGGCTCATATGATATATGATATATATCATATACACCTATAAACAATAATGTATTAGGTTATGATTTTACATCCCGTCTCTCTGAGATGGTCTCAGACTAGAGAACGAGTTCTATTCTGGAAGGTGCCTTCATATTTTCATGCTCTGGGATGTGTAACAAACACACTTGAAAGCCAATGTGGGCTTTTAAGGGAAGATAAATACCGCAGAGAAAATGGCCAGAAAACCCTACTGGGTTTCAGCCAGTGTTTTAAACAAATGCTAATAAAACATCACAGATAACAGATTCTGGATTTTCCTAACAGAAACAGCAATTTGACACTGAAATCAATCGGTTTATGTAATGATCTCCACACCACTGGATGTATCCAAACAAAGGAGTAGAGAATCCCTTTCCATAGAGGCTTTATTCTATGGAAGGTATTCAAATTACCTCAATAGGCAGGTAATTTGACTCTGTCCCTTTCCAATCCAATTAATTATATTTTTATTCTAACAAAAAAGCTCTGTTTTCTGTCCAATCAAATTACAATTCCTAGAATGACCGAATTCTTTTTACCAAAGCCCCCCCCACATCCTTTTTACTGTTCAGTCACTTCCAACTCTTTGTGACCCAACGAAAAACAGTCCACCAAGATTTTCTGCTAGTACTGCTGCTCTGAATTCTTGTAAGCTTATCCTTATCAAGGATAGTAGCTAGCTATTTTTTTTCTTCTGCCAGCCTTTTTTTTTTTTACTGCCTGACATTTTTCTAAGCATCAGGAAAAGATACTTTCCAAAGACCCTCATTTCTGCATCATGTTTTCAAACTTTTTAAGCATTAGGTCCTCATTAGTGTTTCCAATGAGCTCTCTGGTTTTGCTGTGCATCCAGTATTGAATGAATTGTTCTTCTTCTTGTCCAAAGTACTCTCAACAAATTTCTTCAGTATCACAGCTCAGATGTATTATTTTTTCCTTTATTCAGCTTTTCTGATGGTCCAGCTTTCAGAGTCATACTTTACATCTGGGAGGTGAAAGTCAATATGATGTCTGTACTCTACAATATTTTGTTTATTTGTTCTTCCTCCAAAAAGCAGACAAAGCTTGATGACACAGATACAGTCACACCCCAGGAGATTTCTGAGCCCAGGAAGACAAAACCCTTACTAACTTTCTCATCCTATTGCTCTCCAATGCTACCCTTGCATACCCTTCTGGGTGAGGATTAAGGAAAATTAAGCCCAACATCTGGAAAGGAATCGAGCAAGGAAAACCGATCAAATTTAAGTTGTCTATAATATTCCACAGGTTTTTTTTTACAAGTTTCCATTTAGTTTACATAACTTTTTGGCTAAATGAGGTAAGATCTAAGCTCAATCTACACTGATATTTTTCTTTGGTACTGATATATCTAAACCACTTGTTTGCCATGCAACAGGTTATACACCTTCAATTTTTTAGACTTATTCATTAGTTTCATCTGCATACTAATTTAATAAATTATAGTTGGCAATTGATGAGAGGATCTTCAAAGCTATAAAAGTAGTTCTGCGATGATTCTCTTATCTTTACCTGAAGCAATGACAAGTCATTTGTGAGAGTAGAAAATATGGGCTTGTTTTCCATTCCCCACTTGTGCAGTAACCATTCTTATTCATTTCATTTCTAATATCCAGTGTGTACTAGCAGAACTATGTAACTTGAATTAAGCTGTCTATTGAATACAGAGTGGCCTAGAAATGTCCTTAAATAGGATCACAACCAATTTATATTGTAAAATCCAATCCTGTACAGCAGTGGTTCTCAACCTTTCTAATGCCGCGACCCCATAATACAGTTCCCCATGTTGTGGTGACCCCCAACCACTTATACATCATCGGGTGCCAGGGGCATGGCCAAAGAAAAGGGGGAAAAAATGGCAGACAGCCTTGTTTGGCGACCCCTGTGAAATGGTCGTTTGACCCCAAATGGGGTCCCGACCCACAGGTTGAGAACCACTGCTGTACAGCTTTACTTTTGCTTTTCAAATGAAATGGCAATGGCTGTCTCCAGCAGTTGCACTATTTTGTTTGTGGTATGGGCTTCTCCTATAATAGCAATAGCACTTAGACTTATATACTGCTTCACAGTGGGTTTTTTTTACAGCCCTCTCTAAGCGGTTTACAGAGTCAGCATATTGCCCCCAACAATCTGGGTCCTCATTTTACCGACCTTGGGAGGCTGAGTCAACCTTGAGCTGGTGAGACTAGAACTGCTGAACTACTGGGAGTCAGTAGAAATAGCCTGAAGTACTGCATTCTAACCACTGCGCCAGCAGGGCATGAACTAGATCCCAAAAAGAAAGTCCTTGACTTACAACTGCAATTGTGATCAGGATTTCCATTGCTATGTAGTTGTTAAGTGGGTCGTACCTGATTTTATGACACAGTCTTTTGTCACAGTTAAGGAAATCACAGCAGTTAAGTAGTCATTAAGCATAACCAGCTTCTCCCATTGACTTTGAATGTTGGAAGCCAGCTGGGAAGGTTGTAAATGGCAAAATCACATTCAGGATGCTGAAACAGTGATCAATACATGCCAGTTGCTAAGTGCCCAAGTGAGGACACTTTGGCAGTTGTAAGATCGAGGACTGGTTGTAAGTCACTTTTTTCAATGCCGCTGTAATTTGAAATGGTCACTAAACAAATGATTCTAAGTTGAGGACTACCTGCAATACAATCCTTGGGTGCCTATCAGAAATACAGTCTATTGTAAATTGCAATTGTTTGAGGGGGTGAAAGGTGAACAACTCTTCCACATTGCCTCTCAGATGTTCTAGATTGGAGTGACTTGAAGAGGGAGTCAAGCTATTCTCCAAAGCACCTGAAGGCAGGACAAGAAGCAACTAACCAAACAGAGAAGCAACCTAGAACTAAGAAGAAACATCCTGACAGTTAGAACAATTAATCATGGAACAACCTGCCTCCAAAAATTATGAATATTCCAACACTGGAAGTTTTTAAGAAGAGATTGGACAACCATTTGTCTGAAATGGTATAGGGTTTCCTGCCTAAGCAGGGGGTCAGACTAGAAGATCTCCAAGGTCCCTTCCAACTATTCTATTCTATTCTAGTCTAGTCTATTCTATTCTATTCTAGTCTAGTCTAGTCTAGTCTAGTCTAGTCTAACCATACATCCTTTATCCCAAGACTTTATTTTGTGTCAGATCTTGGCCACAATGGAATGCACAGATAACATAAAGCACAGGTGTCAAACTGGCCATGTTACGTGATGTGTCATAACGTATTGTGACTGTTTTTGCATTGCCGGCAATGGGGTGGGCACAGTGACCCGTAACCTGCGGGCTGGCAGTTTGACACCCCTAACATAAAGGAAGGAAAAGATAAAACTGTTCAGGTGGCCATTCTGGCATCATTTAAAACCACAATGTCAGGTTCTTTTCAATTTTCCACATTTGATTAAATTCCATACCCAAAGAGGCTGTTGTGGTGGTAATCAAATTCCTTGAAAGCAATTAAGAATACAGTAGGAGCAGCACTTGGAAAGTTTTATAGACTTACACGAAGAGATCTCTCTCATCAAGGGAAATAACATACCAGGAAGATAGTGTTTCACCACTTTCTTTCATGAGTTTGTTTAAGGGTTTTGTTTTGCTTTGCTTTAATACATTCTTCCAGCCACATGAGAGCTATTAACTAATGCACAACTCTCAAGCAAATATGAAAACATTATAAATGCACTAGGGAAACATGAGAAACCATGGGGCTCCTTCGGAGTCCTTCCCTTTCCCAATTTGTGCAATCAGGTGGGAATTCTGGGAGTTGTATTCCTGTCACATGTAGAGGGCCCCTGGCGGTTATCTGTTTGATCATCACTACACAGTTTGCTGTGTTGCAAGTTCATGACTCACAAACACATCATTACAGAACAGCAGAGAATATCTGTGTGGTCTGCTTCCACGCAGAAAATTCATCTTGTTTAAAGTGGTCTTTAAAGAAAACAATGGACACTACCAAAGGGAAGGGGAACTATGTCATTAAAAAAATGCAGTGGTTTCTAATGTCTTGCTGAAAAAAAGGATGGATGGATGGATGGATGGTAGCAAATCTCAAAATAGAACAACTCACCCTATCACTCTTACTAATGTGCACAATCTGTGCATTTTAATCCTCCACACATATTCATACCTTTGCATCTCCAATTTCTGGCTATTTCTTTCCTGTTTTTCTTTCTACCCAATATGCATGGTGAGAATATTATCCTTCTTCCATAAGGCCTTCCTGACCACCTTTATTAATTACAAAGACTGTCCGTGTTCTCAAGGTGAAGAAAACCAAAAGGATGTAATACAATAGTACTGACCATTTATAACAGAAAAATTGTATCCCATTATTGGCAGCACTATTCTACCTGCCTCGTGGCTTTTGCCCATGGAGTCTCCAGTACAGATATTGTGCCCCGAACCTCAATTATCAGGAAAATATTTCTAGGAGAATTTATATTAAAACGCATTAGGTTCAAAGCAACAATGTGGAAAAGGATTATTCCCCAGCAGGAGAGCATATGCTTTGTTTAAATTTATAGGGCCACCCACTCAACACATGACTCTTGGCCAGGATTCTTGGCATTAAATCACTAATTTGCACTTTGCCAACATTAATAATGTGACATTGACATATTTCTGCCATTTCCCCTTAACACACAAGCTCTCTGCACACAAATTTAGTGAAGTCCTACTCATGATTTGTTCCCAAGTCTAGGTTTAAGGATTTGGAAATCCAAAAACCACTAATTCTCCAGTTTTTATTTCTCTCTGGGAAAGTCTACTTTTTGAAACTAAACAAATCTTTTAAAAAATGCTCTGATAGATAACCCTTGGAGTAACTTCTCAGAATGCATAAAATTCAAGGTTGATATTGAATCTTAACAGGTTATTTTTCCTTGATCATGTAATGCTGCCAAAGAAGACACCAGCAAGCAGAACAAAATCTAGTGAGGGAATAGGAATGTTTTGCCTGTCCAACGAAATATAACTTTTTGCTAGACAAATGTCCCCAGCATGTGAGCATGTCTCTTAGTAATAGTAATAGTAGTAAAGTTGGAAGGGACCTTGGAGGTCATCTAGTCCAACCCCCTGCTCAGGCAGGAAACCCTACACCATTTGTTGTTTGTTTGCTTGTTTGTTTATAAAATTTACAGGCTGCCCTTCTTAATTCAAGAAAACTCCTCCTTTAGTGCTACACATGCCTATTTTTCAGCCACTGCTAAATAAAAGCTCTTGTGAGTTAATCAGATTCAGTGGCAGAAAGATTACTGTGATTATCCTGTTACCTACTCCATCCCATCCCAC